AAACACTACAATTAAAAATAAATATTTTCTCTTTAGACATAGTAAAACTCTTGTAAATGTTTTGAAATGGGATAATCCACAGCTCTGGTATTTAAAAACCAGGCTGTTGGTTTTCTTCCTCTCTATATATAATGTTCCTATTGCAGCATAAACAGGTTTCAGTGACAATGCCTTGATCAGAAAGTCATTACGTTTTCCTGTGAAAAGTTTTGACCAGTTTCTTTTTAAACAAGTCCACCAATGACAGGTAGTCATTCAATCAGAAAAAGTATCAAAATACTCTGAAATGGAAGTCAGCAATTAAAAAAAAAGTCTGAATGATAAAGCAATTCATCAGGATAGCAAAAAGAATATTCTACCCTATCTATATAATCATGTAATCTCCTCAAATAGTATTTATAAATTTACAAAGTTCATCTGTAGTATACAAAAAATAAAAAAATTCTCAATATTGTAGAAAGCAGCTTTTTCTTCTTCTTTTTGTTCAAATTACAATTATTCAGTAGTCTCTTGGGAACAAACCCTCCCAAAACCGGTAGCTGGAGGCCCCAAAACACGAAGGCTAGCTGAAGTGTGCAATTCCTGTGATAATAAATTGAGGCACCCCTTTATCAACTGGATTTTTCCATTTCATAGAAAAAAGTTTTAGGTTAATAAATTTTAGGTTAATGAAACTATTCTCTGGAATGGCGATGAACTTTTCAAATGACTTACATCCAGGGTTCTCAACCCTGCCTGTTGACCTGCACCGGTTCATAGCCCGCCAAGAATCGGATCGTGCAAATGAGCGAAGCCCCATCTGCGCATGCACAGGATCCACACACACCCCGCCCCTGTCGGAGGAAAAACTGCCCTCCACAGAACCGGTCCCTGGCACCCAAAAAGTTGTATGTGGGGGGGGGTGTTTGCTGTCTCACTTCATTCTCCTAAAAATATTGTAGTATGATTGGTTTCTGCTTTTAAGCTTTACGCATCCAAATCATGATTTCCAACTTACTTATTTCAGAGTCACTTCTTGCTTACCTACTGGAATGGTCTTTTTTTCAAATCCGGCGACTTTTAAGATGTGTAGGCTTTAAAGGCCCGGGAATTTCCCAGACAGCATGCTGGTTTACGCCTCTTAAAGTCGCCATGTTTGAAGAACGCTGTGCTAGAAACCTCTGTGCATTATGCAAGGTTGGGAGACACATTCCAGGCGCATTGTACTAGTTTGTGCAAGGCTGAGGGGATCTTTGCCCTGAAGAAATTGAGAGTGCCCTCCTACGGATATGTATACAACTGACGTTAAGTAATGGTGGCCTCTATGGTTACTGATCTACCTCCACAGAATCCCAGGCTCTCCCCACAAAATGCAGTTGGGGAGTCCCTGATTTATGGCATCTCTGATTAAATTATTAGCTGGAAAAAGAAATTTTGCTGATCAATCTCACTTTATCCCTCTAGTGCAAATGGTGCTTCAGCCTGCATTACTGTCCCGTGACTATAAAGACTGAGCCATGGTTATGGGGCCAGCATGGTTCTATGACGACATGGCTGGTTGTTGTTGGTTACTTATTTATTTTTTAAAAATTCTCAGTGTTAGGCTTTCAGGTTTCTCCAGAGTTCATTTCTTTCGGCTCCCAATTATTGGCCAAAGAATTCCTGTGGGACAATGCCCTTAGCAGGGTAGAATTGTTACTTTCTCACTGTGTAGAAATAATGAGCCATGTTTCCAAAACTATTCAGAAACGGCATTCAATTTCAATGCAATGTCGTTAAAAAGAAACACCTGGAGAATTAACATTAGCTCAAATATTGCCTCCTCATCATTCAATCGAGGTCACTGAGAATACAATGCAAATCAGCATTGAGATAAAATAATTCATCTATTCATAGGAGCCCTACAGTTTAAAAGCCCCTCCCTCCATTAAGTTAGGCACAGCAAGAGTTAAGACAAATACTCTCTACACAGACACATCTGTTACAGTATCTACAAGCCAAAATTCATTGCCTGCCAGAACTTAGCACCTTCCCTATCATTCTAACCATTTGATCTTAGCATTTGATCCTTCTGTATATACACATATAAATATATACATACAGGGGAAACGCTGAAACATGGTTTAAAGAAAAAGAAAAGTATATACAAATACCAACATTCCTATAAATAAACCGTTGGGGAGAAAAGGCACTTGCAGGAGGAAGTCTACAGCGTATTTTCAGAAAAGGGAAAAAGAAAGAAAAAAAACAAAACACATTTTGTTCTGGTACTTACAATAGAGAAATCTCTTTCGTTTTTCTATAACAGGAAATGCAAAACACCAGTTATTACTAAGAATAGAACTGTTAAAATCTTGTACATATATTTATAAGGTTTAAGCTTCTTGTAATAAAAGCACCATGATTTTAAAACTCAATGCATTCTTATTTGGATTGAAAGACCAAGAAGGGTCATCTCCAGTGCTTTTGCTCAGTTTTCAAATTAGCTGCTGCTGGAATGTAGATCCAACTGGAATTTGTCTTCAGGTGTCTTTGTCCACATCCCTAGACAAGTTTCTGTTCTTGTCCAGGTGACCTGCTAAAGTCCAAGCAAATGCAATCAGTCTGCACAACAGGAGCACTTCGGAGAGCTGCCGTCTTGAAGGGCTGACTTTTATAGGTGCAAGTGAGTGTGTCTGTGTGTGTATTTGTGTGTGTTATTGCATGATGTGATGACCAGGGATAGCACGCTTACTGATCACCAGGGACTGGCCATCTGCCTCCTTTTGTATGGCTGCACCAATGCATTTTATAGGTATGCGTGCCTTCTTCAAACCTGTTGAAGTACTTTAATAATCCAAATAATTTTTATTTGCCC